TTGTGAGTGAGTGAGAGTGTGTGTGAGTGTGTGAGTGTGTTTATGAGTGTGTGTCTGTGCGAGTGAGTGTGTGTGTGAGTGTGTGAGTGTGTTTATGAGTGAGTGTGAGTGAGTGTGTAATGCTGCGCTTCTGGCGTGTCTGAAGGAGAGAGGCAGAGTTATGAAGAGCAGCTGCAGCAGATGCTTCAGGACCTGAGCAGAGGAAAGCAGAAGAACGAGGAGAAGCCTCTTCCTCACATGAACCAGGTGATCCTTCAGCTTCAGAGCTCAGACTGATGCGCTGCGTTTCATCTCTCAGTACATCACTACAGTCACACTCGCGTCTCTGTTTTGTAGCACATGCATTAACATAATTCAGTGCGTTAGATGATTCTTCCTCTTAAAAGCACAGTGCATGTGACGAGTAAAAAACATTTACGTTTATTCGTTCAGCAGATGCTTTTATCCAAATGAGGATCATCACAAACAAGTTGTCATTAAAGCCAAAATACAGTGCATCACGTCACGTTTAAAGTTGTATATATGCAAATATGTATGTTAAAGCAATAAGCCCCGTGAAGCTGAAGCCTGAGAAAATCGAATTGTGATTTTTCTGATAAAAATTGTGATCGCAATTGAATTCGTAGGGCTGCACTATTTGGCAAAACTTTGGTCATTTATATATCAATATGGCTATAAAATAATAATATTATTGTTGTTATTGATAGAATTATTATTATTATTACTACTACTACAACTACTACTAAAAAATACCAATATTACTATGGTAATATTTTACCGTGAAATAAAAAAACTAGAGTATTAAAAAATATAATTGTATTTTACATTTAGAACCGTAAAATTAATAATTTCTTCATTTTCAAACATTAAACCATCAAACTTTTATTTTGACAGAAAACGACAAGGAATAAAATCTATAAAAAGTGTAAATTACTAAATACAAATCAAATGAAATATTAATATTGTAATATTTCACTGTAAAATAAAAAAAGTCAAGTATTAAAAATAACTTAAAATTACAATACTATTATTTATGTCTTAATTTCTTCATTTTCAAATGTTGAACCATCAGACTTTTATTTTGATGGAAATCCAGAAGGAGCCGTAAAGGTGAGGAACAGCGGCGTATCATGAGCGGTGTAAATGAACACAGTGCTGCGCTTCACTGTGAAACACACACCGCATATGCTTATGTAAATAAATCTGGCTGCATTGTTGATTTTATTCCTGTACTCCTGAGTGTGAATGGTGGACTCTTAACCCGTCTTGAACTAATGCTTCT